CACCAGTCTCAACGGCAGCCACAGGACCCTCACCATGTGCACCTGGGTTGCTGTCATGTGTGCCAGCATTGTCCCCACCCATGACTTCCACATGTGCAGGTTCACCAGTTCCACCGGCCCCTGCCACATCACCATGTCCCTCCCCTGCAGCCTCACCGTCTACGCCATGCTGCGGAGTACGAGAAAGCATCAGCTCACGCAATTGCCTCTCGAGCTTGGCAATAGCCACTGCCTGACCCTCATTGCGAACCTCCAGCCTATGCATTCGTTCTGCCATCTCCGCTCTCCACTCCCTATCCTCCACCTCATCACCTATCACCTCAGGCTCGAGCGGTTTCCTTATCTCATTGCCAGAAGGGATCTCATGCCCAGCTGCCGTGAGCTCCCCGATCAACCGTCCTTCTGCATGAGCGCACATATCCTCCCGTAACCTGCGTCGATATGCCAGTGGGCTCATGCTGAACCGTACCCCGTTCTCAGCACCTTCGAAACACGCCTCCACAAGCGCTTGAATGTACTGGCATACGAAGATGCCGCAGTCAAAATCGTTCTGCTGCAGAGGCATCTGCCACGCCTGCAATACACCAAATGCACATGCAGCATAATGAAAAACAGACGGGAGTGTACACGTCTATCATTTGATAAACTATGTATGTAAAATGTTTAATGTCACATGTGCACCATGCAGAGTACAACAGTTTGCACGGGAAAGCACCTTGCACGTACAGATGGCTGCACTCAACTTAGTGGCACCATACACACGAGAGCACTTTGAACCGGGCAGTACATTGGTTGTTTGGCAGCATCGTGCACATGGGTGCACCATGCGCATGGTTGCACCAGGATTGCATGGGTTGCAATAATAGCATGGCTGCACATGAATAAGCATACGATGTAGCATGGTAGACAAGCGTAGTACTGGTCAACACACCTCCATGACGTGTGGCTGGAATCTCCCGAGCCTCGCTTTCATCTCTTCTATTGGTCGGTTTCCATGGTCCTTCTCGTAGGCCATGCCTAGCAAGCTGTGACGGGACCGCGTTGGGAAGGACAAAAGACGAAGTGGAAGTTTGAATAAATGAAACAAAATCATGCACGGTGATGTTTGCGTGCTTGTAAGTGAATTTGTGTTCGCAACCTCTAGCGGAACCTTACTTGGTCATGTTCTTGAATGCATTGCCCCCAACAGCATGCATCCCAAGGGAGTCATACAGCAGCAACCACGCAGGCTGGGTGGCGTTGTCCTCGTCGAGCGGGAGAGTCACAACTCCAGGATTGACCACAATCATCACACTGAAATGAAACCTGCATCGTCACCACATTACACAACTACTGTCACGGTCAGGCAAAACAACAGCCGAAGCCCTTTGCGTGTTGGCTAGACTAGACACGGGATCATGGCACTTACCCGCCAAAGATTGGCATGGCCAGATAGTCGTAGCTGAAGATTGACGCTCTGGAGTCTCCACTGGCGATCTTGCCCCGTGAGCAGAAGTAGTCGTAACTTTGACTGTCCAACGCGAGCCACGTCTTGCCATTGCTCAACTTTGGCCGGCGGATGTTGAGCACTCTGCGGTAAAAGAGGCAGTAAATGTAGCACAACAATGAGAGATCTGTAAGTGCGATAATCAAGACACAAGGGTTCATCACCGGAGTCTACATGTCTGTGGTATGGCACTTACATATTATGGAAATCGATGAGCGGCTGCGTGATCGGCTGATTATCTGTGATGTGCAGAGCGTCGGCCATCGTGATAATGGCCGTCATGCCGTGATGGTCACGAATCGCATGCGTGGGAAAAAAGGGATGCGTAAACTTGTCCGCAGTAGCTCTAGACTCCTCATGTGTGTTTAGCAACGGGATCTTGGTATCTCCGGTGATTTTCGCGATGAGATCGTCAGGTTCTACCAACGGCGTCTCAAACTCCGGCTCCACGCCATAATCGTGGGGAGCTAATTTTTTCAAGACCACCGGATCAGACAGCGTGGCGCAATGCTCCTTGATAGTCGTCGCATTTGCGTGGCCCAATTTCAGCCTATCACTACGACGAAGACCGTCATCTTCTCCCGAATCCACGTCGGGCGTTGACGTGCCTTCACGTTTTCGTTGACGTTTCCCTCTACCACGAGCTGCTCGACCTGACATATCCACGGCCTAATCGCGCGCCGACGGCTCGTGTATCAAGTAAGTACGGAGTTAGTGATAGGAAAGGGTGCTAGAGGCCTAAACCGGTAGAACTTCTAGTATCCACTCTAGGAGCTATCTATCCCTAACTTTGCGTTCTGGCGGACATATCGAGAGGAATATGCCCGGCACATGACGTGGTTTAGTTGGTGCAAGTGTTTGGGTTGAGCTTCGTACGTCACGCGCAATTACATGGTTACCGCATTTCGTTTGTACATTTGTGATGTTACGAGTGATTTATTTGTACTTCGCGCATTGTACTGAGTCGCGGATCGTTAGGGTTGCGATGTAACCGCAAAGCCGAACTTACCGAAATGTTCACAGTTGAAATGCGCACTTCATAACCTGTCAACTGCGCCCATACGCATATGACGCTCATATGCGCGGACCAATCAAACGCAAGCCAAAGATGCCCGGTCATATTTGCCATCCTATCAAAAAAGCTCGATTGCATATGAACCGCTCATATGCACGGACCAATCAAATGCAATTCGGAATTGACCGGTCATATCCCTGTGCAATTTGACAGGCAACTGCGCGTGTGCTATGTCCGGTCATATGCATGTGATATATGCCCGGGCATTTGGCGATGTACGCGATGTTATAAATTTCGCATCCACGCACTACATGCCCTGCAGACTCGATACATAGCAAATATTTGTTTACCATGGTTTCTGAATTATTCTGATTGTGACGAAAATAGACAAAGTGATTTATTACTTGGCCCACCGCCTAATAATTTAGTCTCTAGTCGCCGGCATATCAGAAAATAACTATTTAAGTGCAATCCTTATAACCCAATTGAAGTGGTTTTGTTTGTGCAGTTGATAATGTAATAGGACATCATCAGATCAACGTGGTTTCTACACAATGTTGGAAACAAGTAACTTAAACGCCTCTGAACTATCGAAGTATCGACACGAAACGGAGCAGACTACAGCGAAGAAACACACGAGTCAACAAAGCAACCGCTGGAGGTTACGCGAAGGTCAAAGGTAGATGACAACTCTTATATTAACGCTTCCGCAATTACAACATCTCTGCTTCAACACTTGATCTTAGCCTTGAAAGATCCTAAGGGCTTTTCTCAGCCCTACACACAACACGTCAATTGTAGAATTGTATCCATTTACTTGATGTATTGTATCCATTTACGGTCCGGTCGTGTTGGTTACACCACTTGTTAGAAGAACCATGTGTCATTGCAATCTTGAATTGCAACCCTTATATTTGTTGGGCTGAGAAAAGCGCTTTGGATCTTTCCAGGCTAAGATCAGTTGACGACGGAAATGCACATTACTTGTTTTCCCGATTAGAAAGTCGTTATGCAGTGCCGACACAGCTCTCCATCCAGCTGCATTTACAACATTTGCGTGAAACCCTGTTTCAATATAACATTTTTTTGTGGATTTCTAGTGCTTTATACATTCTCCACTGGAATGTTGACCTCTACAACCATTATATATGTTTATAATCAACAATAATAAAAAACTAAACTGTATCCGTCCTTGTCACGTAACGGTATGCGCGCGCGATGACATCGAATCCGTCAACCCGGCCAATGGACCGTTCATATGCACGTTGTCTTTCGACCAGTCATATGCTCATGCGCATATGACCGGTCATATGCGCGGGAATATATGACCAGCCATATGTTCGTGAGTGTATTACTGGTCAAGTGCGGTAGTGAATATGGCCGGTCATTTGTTCGTGTGTATATTATTGGTCAAGAGCATATTGTATATGACCGTTCATATGGGGTATCATTAATGTACTATATACCGTCAAACATTAGCCTATATTCATCTAGAAGCAAATAAGATGCTATATACAGTCCCTAGTAGTCAACACTCAGCAATTTTCCGTTCCCCATACCACTAGTTTGCTACATTATACACCCCTGACCCCCCATATTTCCCCTTACACTTCTTCCTAGTATGCTCAGTCGACCCACAGTCGCCACACTTGTATGGCCGTTTTGGTGCTTCACGCCTTCGGTTAGAGTGTGGCCGCCCTGATCCTCTCTGCACAAAAACAGGGGCATCACAAACTCCCTCCTCAACCGGCTCGGTTTCCGCAATAACAGTGTCTACACACGAATACGGAATGAGGTCCGCGTAAGTCCTTCTCCAGTTGTCCGTCTTCCAATACCTGCTGATCAAGGGAATAACATCCATTCCCCTATCCCGTAAGTGTGCAAACGCATGTGAGCATGGAAACCGATATTCCTGCCAGTTTTTGCACTCGCACAATCTCTCTCCCACATCATTGTTGAAGGAGAGAGGACGTTGATCCAGAACGCTCCCCTTGTTCCGAACCCTTGCCTTGTTTGGACCGTTGCCGGTGACTCTGTAACCACGGCTTCGGTTCTTTTTCAGCTCGAACCGCGTCTCAGCTTCGACCGTCAGTGCATGCTGCCAGTTAGAAGACTTCCGATGCCCATCCGAGTACATCTTTGCCATCCAATCCCACATGCCCGCCATTACATAGGAAACAGGCAAGATACGGATCTTCTTGATAGCGTTGTTGATGGACTCCACCATTTGGCTGCTGTAGATGCCAAACCGACACGTGGGGGCATAACACCGTGCCCATTGCTTGATGAATACAGTGATTTTCTTTTTCCTCTTATATCTCGGTGCATCCTGACCCGTGCGAACAACAATGTTCGCCCCTTCCTCCATGTTGTCACTGTCCTCCCGTTGAGCATCCGCACTGCCCAACCCCACCAATCCCGTGTCTTCTGCGTGGTTGACATCCGTGGCCGAATCGGCTTCGTTGGCCCGACCCATGGCAGGGGAAACACCCTGCTGCGATGTTGACCGACGGACAGTTTGGCTCCCTTGCGTTGGCAGCTGTGCTGCAGGTGATTCGGCGCGTTCTAGCCCTCTTGCACTTCCCTCTGTTGCATTCCGCCTTCCCCTTATAATCTCCATCCGCTGTTGGCGTCTCATGGCCGCTTGCTGCGTTGCTGTGGTGGATAGCCGTTGAGTTGTAGTAGTGTTGGCTTGAGAGCTGTGGCCCATGTCTGTACACTCCTCAACCTCATCATCCTCCGGTTCCTCCCCGCAGCTGATTTGGCTCCCATCCTCCACGTCGAACTGCTCCATGAATACTTCTTTGGTATCTGCCTCCGCCTGACTGTCGGACATGGTTGTAAGCATATCTCCCACATTCTCGCCTGCCAACGAAGGGAGCTCGGATGGTGTTGCTGTCACATGATCAGATGGATGCACGTTGTCGGCAGCCGCCGATTTAGGCCGTAGGTCACAAGGGCGGTCACGAGTATGATTCGCAGTTGGCATGGGTCTGAACCCATGGTCCCTATGGGGCTGCTGAGATGGTGGCTGCTGAGATGGCTGCTGCTGAGATGATGGCTGCTGGGATGGTTGCTGATGAAGTGGTGGCTGCTGATATGGTGGCTGCTCAGATGGTGGCTGCTGGCACGGTTGCTGCTGAAGTGGTGGCTGCTGATATGGTGGCTGCTGAGTTGGTGGATGCTGAGATGGTGGCTGCTGAGATGGTGGCTGCCGAGATGGTGTCTGCTGGTCTCCCCTGCGACCACTCCTCCTTTGCCGCCGCACTTCCATCCTTGCCATTCTGGCTCGTTTTGCCGCACCCGTCCGGCTCCGTAACCCATCCCCGCCCTCTGGCTCCCTTGCACGCTGGTCGGCTCCCCGTCTGCCACGGGAAGATGATACAGGCGTACCAAACTGAGTTTGAGCGTTTTAATTAGAACCTAATTGGCCAGAGTTTATGTTTGTGCGAGTGTTTTTAGCATATGATTGGCGAGATCATAAAGTAAATTGAGTTTCATTGGCGCGGTCAAATATGGTCGCAATCCTTAATGATGGCACCTGATTGGACGTGTAATGCCAACAATTGCACCGAGCATATCATTGACGAATCATGCGCGGTCGTTAGGGCTGTTGCGATTTGATGCTGGTCAATTGAGGTTTATGATCGCGGATTTATATGCTCGAGCGCTTATTGGTTCCGAATTTGTTTGCCCGCGCGCTCATTGGTCGCGCATTGGGGCAAAAATGGCCGCGCATATACTATTGGTCGGGCCACGTTCGTGCCCGCCAACCACCCGAAATTTTCGGGTGGGGAATAATACGAATCACTACCGCGAGATGAGACTCGTGCGAACGAGGAATTTCGGGGATACAATCCCTGGTAGGGTAATGTGCCGGAGAAAAAAAACCCCTCGAAAATGCCCTGGCGTGGCCACTCGAGCAATTATCACTGAATTTGATGGCCACTCGAGCAATTCGGGGACACGTGGGCAAGAGCGAATCACCAAACAAGGCACTGGAGCAATTCTCTCAAACCCTAGATGTCAAGTCCAGTTCTTGCCCACGTGGCTGACAAATCGTCAAGAACTGCGCTGTTGATTGGTTATTATTCTTCTGACGGCTATGCTATGGCTCGTGGTTGGCCTAAGTTACCATCACTTTTTCCAATGAAGGCCTGTTGGTGGTCGTTATGAGAGACAAAATTATCATCGCACAAATGTAACATTCTTCGCTAATGGGATCGACCTTCGCAAAACGGTGAGGAATAACAAGGTATCTGCCGAGGGACCTGTTCCGAAACATAATCCTTCAAATATTTTATATATTCCAAGAAATCCAGCTAGAATGAACCAATCTCTATCTACCTTATACCGCGGTAAAGCAACAGTGAATCCATAGCCGCGTCTGACCGTCAATCCAGTTTCACCCGATCGACACCGTCCGGGAGTTCATTGATCAGCTGGTCATTTTCGTTCTCGTGGATCGAACTTACATCGCAAATCCACCTGCCGATCGCACAAAATTCCTCACTTCCGTTCAGGATCGGTTCTCATGCCGGCGAATCCAGAGGAGAGGTATGAGGGCGACTCACCCTCGTGCCGTTCCTCCTCTTCCTCCTCGGAGGAGATTATTGGAGGAGGCGTGTGGGGGGTGGATCTGGGGGTCGACGTGGAGGAGGCGCACCGCGCGGCGTGCGCGGCGGGAGATTCCACCTACATCGACCCTGAAACAGGTGAACAGGCGTTCATTCCCGTTGCTACCGGGATCTGGTGTTCGACTAGTATCGGGGGTTCGACGTCTAGCAGACGCACCGCGCGGTGTGCGCGGCGGGAAATTCGACCTACGCCGACCCTGAAACAGGTGCGGATCGTCTCGTTTCGACGATGAGTTGGCGTTGACTACGTGGATTCGGGAGAAGAAGCGGAGGAGGCTCACCACGCGCCTTGCCGAGCGGGGAATTCCACGTACACATACCCTGAATCAGGTGAGACTCGCCTGTTTCAGTCTCCCTTTTGACGCTGGGTTCGCCTATATATCCTGTCTCCCATGTCCCATGTTTCGTGTCCCGCGTCCCATGTTTCGTGTTTTCGGACAGGCTATTCGGATTTCACGGCGCCGGTTCTCCGCAAGCCAGTTTCCAGTGTCCCCCTTGACTTTTCGTACTAATCACCCAAGCGTCGTTCCGTGCTCCGTGCCTCCGTGCTTCGCAACAGGCTATTCGGTCTTCACGGCGCCGGCTCTCCTCAAGCCTGGTCGCTGCTGCGGCAATAAATGCAGGTGCGCATGGATTCGATTCTGTCTGATTTTCTCTTTCAGCAAGCGCAAGACCGATTGGATCTGATTCTGCGTGATTCTGTGCTGCAGCGACCCTTCATCCGTTGACCCCCACCCTTCCCCCTCTCCTCCCTCCCCCACTGTCTGACCCCTTCCTCTCTTCGTCCCTCTCCCTGTGCTCTCCCTTTGGGTTCCAGGCACTGCCCGTTTGGTCATTATGCTGTGCGCACCAATGCATTCATGTCACGAACCAACTCCCTCACTGTGAGTTGACCATTCACTGTGGTTACCAGGTAACCACCACAGCGTTCCTCTCACTCACGTGATAATGCTCGATATAATGCCCTCACTACGATGTGTGGCGCATCAACGCCTTCATCTCACGAACCAACTCCTTCGCTTTGAGTTGTCCGTTCGCTGCAGTTACCTGGTAACCATCATATGGATTCGCGCCTAGTACTTGTCCCTCTCCAAACAGGCAGCTCACACTGTTCTATCCTGACAAAACCGCCCCTTGAATCACTACAACCTTCGCACTAATCTCACCGCTCTCGCAGGAGCCCATGCTGCTCGCTCCCACCAAGGGCACTGTTCCCTCCTCCCCTGCGCTCGCCCTGCTCTGGGACGGCAGCCTGCCAGCCCTCCTCGCCCTGCAGGTGAGATGATTTCTCTGTTGTTGTTGCCTTCCAGGTATTGTCACCTGTCGCCCTCGCAGGCGATAGGTGTGAATCTCGCACTACGGTGTTGGGTCCTGCTCCCTCCCTCCTCCCCTGCGCTCGCCCTGCTCTGGGACGGCAGCCTGCCCGCTCTCCTCGCCCTGCAGGTGGTGATAGATATCGTTATTTGGTTCAAGCAAAGCTCTGTTTCTTAACTCTCGGTCGGTTACTAGCAAGTTTGGTTAGTACTGTTTGGTCCTCCCACCGTTAATTATTATTATTATTATCACTATTATTATTACGTCTATTATTATTATGACTACTGTTATTATCATCATTTGCTTTCTGCTAGAAATTGCAGATCATGGTCTCTCACGTTCCTTCCGCCCGCAGGCTCTCACCAACCAATCAAAATCCGCCACGTCAATCGCTTCGTCAACACACAATGTCGTGCTGACAACTCTCTTTGACCCGCACTCAGGGCAAGTCCTCTCTCCCGCCAGCATTCCTGATGTAGCCGCTACAACTGGTGTAGCTGCTACAGCTGCCGTGACTGTTACGGCCGATGTACCAGCAGCAGCCGCTTCTCGGGCAGCTGAAACTCTTTGCTGCCTGCCCGTCTCTATACGGGCAGTGATGGACCAATCCCTGGCGCTGAAACGCCCGCTGCTCGCAGTCCCTGTAGAGGGATGCGAGGCCCTCTGTAACGGGGATAGGATTGAGGTGAGGGGAGGCGAGGGGGAGGAGAAGGGGCAGGGAAAAGGGCAGGAGGAAGGGCGGGAGAAGGGGCAGGAGGAGGGGCAGGAGAAACCACAAGGGGTGCATGAGAGTGGGGGTGGGAATTTGAAGAAGTCAGGATGTGGGTGTCAGGGAGGAGCAGAAGCAGAAGTGGGAGCAGGAAGAGGAGGAGGAGGAGCAGCAGCAACAGCACGAGTAGGGTGTGAGGAGATGAGTGCAGGAACGATCAGTGTGGATGGATTCACGCCCAGCTGGGCGTCTGTGCTTCAGTCTGCTCTTCACTCCTCGCTCAAGTCCCAGGTGAGTTCTCATCTGAGTCAGCACTTAATTCAGTGGCTTCAGCACGTTGGGCATTCTGAGGTAATGTTGTCAGTGGCCTTAGGCATCTGCAATCCCCTGTCCTATGCTCCCTCCTCCGTGCCCCTCTGCTTCAACAATTAGATTCTTCTGTCAACTCTCAGGTAGTGCTTTCAGTGGCCTTATGCCTCTGTTGACCCCCACCCTGCCCCCTTCCCCCTTATCCCGTTGTCCCTCTCCTCCTTACCTTGCTCCCTGTGCAGGTGCATTTGGTTGTTTCTTCTCTCGCTCTCCCCTTATCAACCTCTGCCTTACCCACTGCTGCAGGGTGTTTTTGAGAATTCTCAAAAACACCCTGCTTTACCCACTGCTGCTTCATCCACTCCCGCTGCTTCAGCCAGTGCCCTCTGCTTTCTGCCCCCTGCCCTCTTCCACCTTATCCCGTTGCCCCTCTCCTCCTCCTCGCCCTTGCTTCCCTTGCAGGTGCATTCGGTCGTGTCTCCCCTCCCTCTCCCTCTCTCAACCGCTGCTTCACACAGTGCTGCTGCCACTGCCGCTGCTGCTGCTGCTACTCCTGCCACTCCTGCTGCTGCCACTTCTGCTGCTGCTATGCCTCCTGTCGCTGCCACTGGGTCAGAGAGTGCAGCAGCAGCAGCAGCAGCAGCAGCAGCAGCAGCATTCCCAGTGAAGCCAGTGTTCGAGCACCAGTCACTCATCAGAACGGCACCACTCGCACGAGGTTCGACTCTCCTGCAACCATCCCAGGTACGCCTTCGGCTCAGCCAGTCCTGACCCCATCCCCTAGACCCAGCAGCCATTGCTTTGTCTCAGAAAGTCAAGGCACCACCACTGCCACTGGGCTCGTCTCCCCTGAAACCATCTGGGTTACTCTACTTCCTCTCTGGCACACTTCCTCTCTTCCACACTTCCTATGAAGCAGGCACTTGCCAGTCACCTGATCCCTCCCTCCCTCTCTCCTCCTCTCTAACCCAACCAGTTCCGAGTTCTCATGCACGAAGCAGGCACATGGCAGCATGTTAGCACAGAGGAGGCAGTTTCCCGGCTTGCTTCCTCTTCCTCTCCTCCATCATCTCGCCCGTCATTGGCTGGAGCTGCTCCTACTGCTCGCCTGCCATTCGTTCCCACGTTTGTGGAGATCCAAGCGCCTGCGCCTGCCAGCCGGTTCAGCAGGTGGATTGCAGCGATTCGATATGTGATGCATGCGGTGTATGTTACTGCATTGTCGTTACACCGTGTTGTTATCTTGTCGACTGTTGAGGAGGATGCATCCGTTTGCAAATGATGTCCGGGTCTGCTTTCATGGTTTTTGTTTCCCCTTGTGTGTCTGTTGGTGTTCAGGTTGAGATGATGCGAGGCGGCCATCAAGAATCCGAGTGTATAATCAGGGCGGTTCTAAGTAAAGGTTTAGATATCTATCAAGCTTGCTTATTTAGGTTGCAAAGTTCAAGGACTAGGGCAACAATCTCAGGGCTTCGTATAGCTGTAACGCATTGTAGTACGAAAGTGCGGTCCCAATAATGTGCTACTTATTAGAGGCTCGCCTGATTGCCGTTTTGCCCCCTTTAGTGCGATTGGCGGTCGCTGCGATTGAACGGTACGCGGGATTTTCCAGGTGCGCGGACCAACTGCGCAATCCCCAAATCCGCGGCACGGGGGACCCGCAAGGGGAAAAGCCACGGGGAGGAACAGCACGGTGGACAAGCACCTTGGCGGAGCAGCTGTGCGGAAGTGCGGAATGAATATTCTCAAATTGGGGCCGTTCTTGACGTACACCACCGACGCGTATATTTACAGAATCGTTCTGGAGGCCACGTTACCGCTTCGAGTCATCTGCAATTCTTACTGTGACGTATTCTGGCAGGCCAGAGGGACTGACAAGCTACAACCTCCTGTGATCCCCCTAGTCCTAGTTCTGATTTCACTCCTAGTTCTGACTTGCCTTTGTTAGTATGTTCAATGAAGACTCCTTAATTTTGAGCAGGAGTTTCTAGTCTTAGGCACCCAGGGATTTCCGTAATCGCAGGCAGTCGGAATTCTTCTGGCGCTGCAAGGCTATTTCTGTTGATACCCTATTGGTTTTTAGGACGTCCATCGGGAAGAGCTTTGTCTGCCCGGAAACTTCGCAATGGCGAGCAAGAAGCGATCTCACGAGAGGCTTCCGTTCGGCGCTCCGCCGAGGCAGCCGGACGAGCCGTTTAATCCGTTCGTGAACCACAGCGCGCCGATCGATACGCTTTACGAGATCGTTAAGCTGACACTGATGTTCCCCGTGTTCCTCGTGCGCGCGGTGCTCATGTTCGTCTGCTTTATTTTCGGATACTTCTTCGCGCGACTGGCGCTGATCGGCGCGAAGCACATCCACACCAAGTAACTTACTCCTCGACGCATTTTGCTAATTTGACAAAAGATTGCTGACTGCTTGTCTCTTTTGAAGTTGCTTTTGAGAATTCTCGGAAGCAACTCCAACATTTTGCTGGTTGGATGAATGATTGTTGACTACTTATCTCTTTGCTTATTGCTTACCCTTAGCTAGTTAATTATCCGTTCGCAGTATCGCTTTTCTCTTTGCTTATCAATGTCGTTCCCGCAAAGACGGCTCCCGGTGTCCCGTTTGTCGTCTGTGGGGACTGGGTGAAGTGATGGAGTAAAACTTCTAGGCGCTTTTCCAAATAGAATTTTAGATATTGGACAGTCGAGTCGGTTACCCCTTTACTCCTTTTTTCTGGGCGCGATTCGGGAGTGGGATGAGGGGGTGGGTGGGGTGCTTGTTCCATTATCAAACGGCGGAAAATTATCAAAATTCTTTCCGATTCCAAGGCGATTTTTGAGTTTACTCAGAATTTGTTTCCCAATCCCAAGGGGCATTTGAGTCCACTCAATGGCTCTCCTCCCCACTTCCCTGTCGCCTCTGCAGGCCCTTCCCCACGTGGAGGAGGAATGTCCTGTGGCCCGCTTTCTCCCCTCTTCCCGTCCCCATCTCCCCGCTCTCTCCCCCTCTTCCCGTCCCCATCTCCCCGCTCTCTCCCCCTCTTCCCGTCCCCATCTCCCCTCTCTCTCCCCCTCTTCCCGTCCCCATCTCCCCTCTCTCTCCCCCTCTTCCCGTCCCCATCTCCCCGCTCTCTCCCCCTCTTCCCGTCCCCATCTCCCCTCTCTCTCCCCCTCTTCCCGTCCCCATCTCCCCTCTCTCTCCCCCTCTTCCCGTCCTCATCTCCCCCTCTCTCCCCCTCTTCCCGTCCCCATCTCCCCTCTCTCTCCCCCTCTTCCCGTCCTCATCTCCCCCCTCTCTCCCCCTCTTCCCGTCCTCATCTCCCCCCTCTCTCCCCCTCTTCCCGTCCCCATCTCCCCCCTCTCTCCCCCTCTTCCCGTCCCCATCTCCCCCCTCTCTCCCCCTCTTCCCGTCCTCATCTCCCCTCTCTCTCCTCCCCATTTCCCTGTCGCCTCTGCAGGCCCTTCCCCAAGTGGAGGAGGAATATTCTGTGGCCCGCTAAGCTTCTGACACGTGGCGTTCTCTTTGCCTGCGGTTACAACTGGATTGAGGTGAGCTACTGTGAGTGATGGGATTCGGCATACAGCTGCTGCTACAGCTGCTGCTACAGCTGAGACTAGGTGCTTGCTCGCTTGCTGCTTGCTTGCTTATCTTGTGGCCTGTTAACACCTGGCGTGGCCTTCTCGTCCTCTGGATGGAGGTGAGTGACTGGGCTTGGCGCGTTGTACCTGCTGCTGCTACGAATTTTGAGGCGCCTCAAAAGGCGCCTCAAAAGTCGCCTCAAAAGTCGCCTCAATAGGCGCCTCAAAGGCGCCTCATAGTCCGCCATGAGGCCTTCTCGTCGCCTGGTCTGGATTGAGGTGAGTGAAGGGCAAGGTCGCGTCCAGGGCAGAGGCGCCCATCCTCGTGTGCAACCACGTGACCTTTGTCGACCCAGTGTGTTCCTGTTTATGGCTCACCTGCCATGCTGTGCTCTCCTCTGCCTATCCCCCATCTCGACCCACACCACTCCCACTCCTCTATGCAGGTGAAAGGCAAGCCTGCTTCCAGAGCAGAGGCGCCTATCCTCGTTTGCAACCACGTCACCTTCCCAACCCCACCCTCACCCTCACCCTCACCCTCACCCTCACCCTCACCCTCACCCTCACCCTCACCCTCACCCTCACCCTCCTCACCCTCACCCTCCTCACCCTCATCCTCACCCTCCCAACCCCACCCTCCCTCACCCGTCTATTCAGGTGAAAGGCAAGGTCGCATCCAGAGCAGAGGCGCCCATACTCGTGTGCAACCACGTGACGTTTGTCGATCCAGTGTTCCTTTTCATGGCTCACCTGCCGATGATCATCACGGCTAAAGAGAACATGAATATCTTCATAGCGGGGACAATCATGAAGGCCCTTCAGGTGCGTGGGTGGGAGTGGGTGGGAGTGGGTGGGAGTGGGTGGGAGTGGGTGGGAGTGGGTGGTAGTGGGTGGGAGAGGGTGGTAGTGAGTGGGAGTGGGTGGTAGTGGGTGGGAGTGGGTGGTAGTGGGTGGTAGTGGGTGGGAGGATAATTTCAGAGTCGGCTTGAGAACTGGTATGCCTGCTTAGTTTATGTGGGTGTTGTGCACGAAACAAAAGCCTATCTACTGACTCTATGCCTATGTGGGTGTTCACTGCTAATAAGAACATGCTGATGGGATTTCACTGCTAATAAGAACATGAACAATTTTCAAGACGGGCGCCTTTGCTCCGGGCCTGCCAGTGCAGCCAGTGGTGGTGACCTACCCTTACACGTCCTTCCTCATACCTTCCCTTCCCTTCCCTCCCCTCCCCTCCCCTCCACCCCAGGCCATAGCAGTCGACCGCGCGTCCCCCACATCACGCAAGGACGCATCATACGAGATAAAGAAGCGTGCCATGTGCAACGACTGGGCGCGCGTGCTGCTCTTCCCCGAAGCCACCACCACCAACGGCCGCTCCCTCGTGTCCTTCAAGACGGGCGCCTTTGCTCCGGGCCTGCCGGTGCAGCCAGTGGTGGTGACCTACCCCTACACGTCGTTTGACCCCTCCTGGGTGGCCGAAGGGCTCCCCGATATGAGCCTGCTGTGGCGCATCATGTCCCAGCCCCACAACCGCATGCGCGTGAGTCAGTGCCCGAGGGGGCGGGGATGGGAGAGTGCGAGTGAGAGAGAAGGGCTCCCCAATATGACCCTGCTGTGGCGCATCATGTCCCAGCCTCACAACCGCATGCGCGTGAGTAGGTGAGGGGGAGAGTGAGGGAGCGAGGGAGTCAGTGAGAAGCTGAAGCTGCCGCCTTGTTAATGCCCTCTGCTTTTTGCTCCCTCTCCCTCTCCCGCTTTTCCTCTCCCCCTGCCCCCCTGCTCGTGCACTCTTCTTGCACTGGCACAGGTGGAGTATCTGCCGGTGGTCGTCCCCACAGAAGAGGAGAAGAGAGACGCGCGCAAGTTCGCCGAGCGAGTCCGTCTGGCCATGGCGCGGTGCCTCAACCCCCTGTCCTGGCCCCTTTTCCCTCCCCATCCCTTCCCACCTTCCCTCCACACCCTTCGTGCTCACAGGTGGAATATCTACCCGTGATTTTTCTCACAGAAGAGGAGAAGCGAGACGCGCGCAAGTTCGCCGAGCGAGTCCGTCTGGCCATGGCGCGGCGCCTCAACCTGGCCCTCACAGACCACTCCTTTGGCAACATGCTGCTGGCGCTTGAAGCAAAGAAGCTCAAGCTGCCGGTGGGGACGGCGAACGTGCTGCTGGCTCCCTTCATCTGAGGCCCGGAAACTGCTGCTGGTTCTTGAGGCGCGGAATCTCATGCTCATGATACCACCCTTGCTCTCCCTTGCTGGCACAGGTGGAGTATCTGCCGGTGATTGTGCCGACAGAAGAGGAGAAGCGGGACCCAAAGAAGTTTGCCGAGAGGGTCCGTCTGGCCATGGCGCGGCGCCGCAACCTGGCCCTCACAGACCACTCCTTTGGCAACGTGCTGCTGGCGCTCGAGGCAAAGAAGCTCAAGCTGCCGGTGGGGACGGCGAACGTGGAGTTTGGGCGGCTGGAGCAGCTGTTCCGGGTGGATGTGAGGGAGGCGAAGCAGTATCTGAGACGATTCCATGCCATGGACGTGGGACACTGGTGAGCGCACAGCCGCTCTACCCCCCTCTTACTCTCTCACTCTCACTCGCTCACTCACTCACTCACTCACACATTCTTTCTCACTCCCTGGAAGGGTTTCGGAGGTTGAAGTTGAAACCCTGTGGAGTGGAGTTTGGGCGGCTGGAGCAGCTGTTTCGGGTGGAGGTGAGGGAGGCGAAGCAGTTCCTGAGACGATTCCATGCCATGGACGTGGGGCACTCGCTCGCTCTCACTCAATCTCTCATCTCATCTCTTATGGCCCTCGTCAGCCCCCTCAGTGGCACCGTGAGCTACTCCGGGCTCCTGTCAGTGCTGGGATTGCTGTCAACACTCCCTCCTCCCCCCTCCTCCCTCGCCCCTCCCCCCTTTTCCCCTCAGTGGCACTGTGAGCTACCCCGCATTCCTGCAGCTCTGGGTTTGCTTCATCACCCTGGTCCCTCTCCCCATCCTTCCCTTCCCTCCCTTCCCCTCCTCCCGCTGTCCCCTGTGCTCCACACCTTCCCCCTTCCCCTCTTTAACCCCATCAGTGGCACTGTAAGCTATCCCGGGTTTCCTGTGTCAGCTCTGGGCTCAACACTCCCTCCTCCCGCATCCTGCCCCCCCCTCACTTCCCCATCTTCCCTCACCCCCCTCAGTGGCACCGTGAGCTACTCCGGGCTCCTGTCAGTGCTGGGATTGCTGTCAACACTCCCTCCTCCCCCCTCCTCCCTCGCCCCTCCCCCCTTTTCCCCTCAGTGGCACTGTGAGCTACCCCGCATTCCTGCAGCTCTGGGTTTGCTTCATCACCCTGGTCCCTCTCCCCATCCTTCCCTTCCCTCCCTTCCCCTCCTCCCGCTGTCCCCTGTGCTCCACACCTTCCCCCTTCCCCTCTTTAACCCCATCAGTGGCACTGTAAGCTATCCCGGGTTTCCTGTGTCAGCTCTGGGCTCAACACTCCCTCCTCCCGCATCCTGCCCCCCCCTCACTTCCCCATCTTCCCTCACCCCCCTCAGTGGCACCGTGAGCTACTCCGGGCTCCTCTCAGCGCTGGGCTTGCTGTCAACACTCCCTCCTCCCCCCTCCCCCCTCGCCCCTCCCCCCCAGTGGCACTGTGAGCTATCCCGGTTTCCTCTCAGCGCTGGGTCTGCATTCAACACTCCCTCTTTCCCCCATCCTGCCACGCTCGCACTTCCCCATCTTCTCTATCTATCCTCCCAAACCCCTCAGTGGCAGGCACCGTGAGCTACCCCGGGTTCCTCTCAGCGTTAGCTCTGCTCTCAACATAAGGCCCAGCGCTGAGAGGAACCCGGCTCTCCCCTTATGTTGGGAGCAGACCCAGCAAATTTCTCGCCCTCCACACCCTCCCTACCCTCCCCACCCTCCACACCCTCCCCACTGTCCCCCCTTCTTCCCCTTAACCCATTTTTTCCACCGCAGTGGCACTTTGAGCTATCCCGGGTTCCCGTCGGCTTTGGGCCTGCCCGAATCAGAGGCCTTTCAAATGCTACTTGACTTTCTCACCATCCTTCTCACCCTTTCCTCGCCCTTTCTCTCCCCTTCCTCCACCACCCACCTTTCTCACCAGTGGCACTGTGAGCTATCCCGGGTTTCTGTCAGCGCTGGGCCTGCCCGACTCAGAGGCCTCTCAAATGCTCTTTGACTTTCTGGATACCAACGAGCGTGGCACCATCAACTTCAGAGAGGTGGGTGCAGTGCGGTGCAGTGAGGTGCAGTGAGGTGCAGTGAGGTGCAGTGAGGTTTACTGGCAGCGCTGGTCCTTGTGCCCCGCGATTCTCGATTCCACGACTCGGTGAATCGAGTTTATCTTCTTGTCCCCTTGTGTTCTCACCACCCCTTCCTCCTCCCCTTCCCCCTCCAATTCCCCTCTCTCCCCCCTCCAATTCCCCTCTCTCCCCCCTCCAATTCCCCTCTCTCCCCCCTCGGCAGTTCCTTGCAAGCCTTGACTTACCGCAATTTCAGACTCAACAGAGTGAGATGAACTTGCGGGGCCAATTCAATAGCCGTTCCTTCTCTTCACCCCCTGTGTTCTTCCTTCCCTCCTCCCCTCTGCAGTTCCTGGCGGGGCTGGTATTTGTGTCCCTGTCCCGCCATCCTCAATTCCATTACTCGGTGAATTGGATCCTTTTTCTTGACTCCCTGTGTTCTCACATCTCGTCCCCCCCCACTCTCCCCCACCCCGCGCCCCTTACTCTTCCCCTCTGCACTTCCTGGCGGGGCTGGTCTTTGTGTCGCGCCACCCGCAATTCCATGACTCGGTGGAAAAGGCGTTCAAGTGGCTGGACAGGTGATGTGGTGCAATGCGGTCGTGTGAGGTGCACTGCTCTTCCCCTTCCCCCCTTCTCTCTTCCCCCTTCTGCAGTTCCTGGCGGGGCTGGTGTTTGTGTCGCGCCATCCTCAATTCCATGATTCGGTGGAGAAGGCGTTCAAGCGGTTGGATCTGGATGGAGATGGACGGCTGACAGCGCAGGAGGCCAATGAGGGCATGAGGGAGCTGTTCCCTGCGATCACAGATGAGCAGGTGGGTTGGGTGTTGGTCTGGTGCAGTGTGGTGCTGTGCGGCGCAACATGGTGCAATGCAGTGCGGTGTAGTGTGGTCTGGTCTGGTCCCTCCTCTTTGCACCCCTCTCTGCAGGCCATCCCCTGTTTCCAGCGTTTGTGCCTACAGCTAGCTAAGCTGTGCGACCTCCTGAGGCCCACCAGCAAGACCTCTCTCTGGGATGCAAGTCCTCTCTCACACCCCCACCTCTCCTCCTATTCCCCTCCTTCACTCATGTCCCCTGTTTTTTATTGTCGCTACTACCTGCCCCGTGCCTGAAGCTGACTAAGCTGTGTGAACTGCTGGGGCTCAGCAGCACGAACTCTCTCTCCTGGAATGAACCCTCTCTCTCCTGGAATGAACCCTCTCTCCACCCCTCCCCCCCCATTTCTCTACTGTTCCGATTTGTCGCCCCGGTTTGTTGCTCCCACCTGCCGTGTGCCTGCAGCTGGCTGGGCTGAGCGACCTGCTAACAGCACGATGCCTCTTTCCTCGGACGACCTCTTGACTCTCCCACCCCTCCGTCATTTCCTTCTGCTCTCCATCCTGTGCTGCAGCTGGCCAAGCTGTGCGACCTGCTGCGACTCAACAGCAAGTCGCCTCTCTCCTGGGATGAACTGTTTTCTCCCTCACCCCCCCTCAATTGTGTTCTGTTTCTCGTTCACTTGTTGATCTGCAGCTGGCCAAGCTGTGCGAGCTGCTGGGGCTCAACAGCAAGACGTCTCTCTCCTGGGATGAGTTTGAGCATTTCCTCAAGACAAACCCGGAGTATCTGGTGGCGATTCTCGCCGCTGATTTGGCTGATGCAAAGGTGGAGGAAGAGAGCAGTGAAGTAACATCGAATTAGGTGTGTGGCCAAGACACAGTTGTGCGGCCAAGGTGTGGCTAAAACATACCGTAGGTGTGAGGCCAAGATACAGGTGTGCAGCCTTTTTCTGTGCATGACTTGCATGACAATGTGAATATGGAATTGTGTGATATTATACTGATCCTGGTTTCTACGTTTACATCACAAAGCGGAATTGAATCCTGTGGTATGGTGCAACACGTCATTGGTCTGTTAACCCAAAAGTGTACTGTGTTTATATATGCATGGTATTCATCACCTACATTCAACATTATAGGCGAGATAGAACCCAGATTTTGACCCCTTTTTTGCTGCCGGAGTTAACTCCCGAGAACGCCTTAAGTTACAGAATTAGGATCCACACCCAATTCACCTCACCTGACCTGACCGTAGCGCAGTGACAGAGAGTTTCAGGTGCCGTTCATCCGTTTCGTTGACCGTCTATGTTGGTGCGTCACCCAATCACAGTGCCCCACAAATCTGCGGTCCCACTCAGCATCATCTCCAACTCCCCCTCCCCCACCTAGCTCGATGACACGCATCACACGCCGCTTAGCATAATACACCGTCCGATCGACCACGTAGGTAGTTTAAACCGTTGGATGAACGCCAACCGGCATTTAGATCTTGCCGTAGTTTCCGAACCAATTTGACAGATGCCTCCCTCCCTCCCCCATCCCGTCAGGGAACCAATTTGGGGGATCAACTCCAAGAGCTTCGTTGCGCCTCCTACTTCACTGCTGAGGGGATCAATGGGTGGGTGAGGTGAGGAAATCAGGCACATTTCAGGATTACAAGTATCGCATTTCTACATTTTCAGTCTTCAGTTTCAGCAACTAGTAGTCGCAATTGCAGGTGCAATTGCTCTTCCACTTACAAGACTTTCCCTTTCTGCTCCAGTTCACCTCTCTCGATTTCATCTTGCTCGTCCTGCCATCACACAATACTATCGTGCAAAGGTAGCTGCTACTTACCTCCCATTGTGAACAAGAGTACATCCTGAGCTTCTTGTGAATCCAAAAGCCTACTTATATTCGTCCAATCTCAGGTTCTGTTCGCTAATGTGTATTTTGTAACTGTAACTGCTGTACTCGTTATCAGCAGGTCAAGATGGTGATGGATAAGGACGCCAAGATCTATGTGGCTGGCCACACCGGTTTGGTGGGATCAGCCATCTGCAGGAAGCTCAAGAAGGAGGGATATAACAATGTCGTCGGAAAATCCATTGAGGAACTTGATCTGACACGGCAAGCGCTCGTCGAGGAGTACATGAACACGGAGAAGCCTGATTACGTCATCGTCGCTGCTGCGAAAGTCGGCGGAATTCACGCTAACAGCGTATATCCCGCCGATTTCATCGGAATCAATCTTCAAATCCAGACCAATCTCATCGATGCTGCTTACAGGGCCGGAGTGAAGAAGCTTGTCTTCCTCGGATCGTCTTGCATCTACCCGAAGCTCGCTCCCCAGCCTATCACTGAGGATGCTCTGCTTACCGGACCCCTGGAGCCCACGAACGAGTGGTATGCCGTTGCCAAGATCGCCGGTATCAAGATGTGCCAAGCCTACAGAATTCAGGTATGCCCTGGAAGGCTGATGTCTTATCTGATTAATTTCCTTATCCTGTGTGTCTATTCAGGAACCATGTCGGCTTATTCAAATTGGCCGTGTTTTCTCCTTGTTTTGCTTCCCAACACCATTTTGTTTCTGTTTCTTCCTCCATTGTTACTCGTTCCTTCTGCAGTACAACTTCGATGCCATCTCAGCGATGCCGACCAACATGTACGGCCCGTACGACAACTTCCACCCGACCAACTCCCACGTGCTGCCTGCTCTGATCCGACGGTTCCACGAGGCCAAGAAGACCGGAGCCAAGGAGGTGGTCTGCTGGGGTACCGGCACTGCTCTGCGTGAATTCATGCACACCGATGATCTCGCAGGTATGAGATTGATTCCACACGGGTTCGCAGCGTGCACGCCATGTTTACCGTGTTAATAAGTTAATTTGTACGCATGAACTGGTCCTATTCGTGTGTATACTGCGTGATCCCGCGTGAGTACGACGACTTCAGGTGTAGTCTTCCGATTTTTAGCTAGTCGTGATAACCGCACATGAAGTTCGAACCGCATTCGCGACTGTCCCCCTTGCAAGAACCACTGACAAGTAGACCCTACTCTTCAAACCACGTTCTTATCTCTGCGAAGCTTGTGTACCCCCCTCATGAACCATTGCCAATTGTCCTCCCTGATCCAACCCTTTTCCCGAAATACTCTCCCTCCAGATGCGCTCCTCTTCCTGCTCAACAACTACAGCGACATTCCCCACCTGAACGTGGGAACCGGCATCGAGCTCACGATCAAGCAGCTCGCGGAAACAGTCAAGGAGGTGGTGGGTTACGAGGGCGAGATCACGTGGGACACGACCAAGCCCGACGGCACGCCTAGGAAGCTCATGGACAGCTCGAACCTGCACAAGCTGGGGTGGAAGCCCAAGGTGGGGCTCAAGGAGGGCCTCACGGAGGTGTACAAGTGGTACCAGGAGAACTACAATGTCTGAGCCATGTCTCCATGCCATGTCTTAGGCTTGTCTGTGCAGTGCAATGGGATCTTGTAATTTTTGGGGTACACAATTCTTATTGTGGGTTTTTTTCACATTTCTTTGTTACTGTTGATATTGTTCTGGCTGCTGGATTTGCTAATGGCATTGTCCAAGCAAGCAAACTACGTTAGCTGCTAGTTCTCAGGTGTGCACTCTCCACCAAGGAGACCACTTCACAAGCGTATCGTACCTTGTGCATGCAAGAGGTAATTCATGTTGAATAGAAACGTTCGGTACCAACTCTACTCTCCCCTGCCACTTTAACCCTTGTTTTATTCACACCTTCCTCTGTGCTTCAACAGGCTCTGTCAGTTCATTCTAGCTCTGCCTAAACACCAAATCGGTTGGGTACAAAACGAAAACAAGTAATTAACACCCCTCATAACAGTTTGCTTACAGAACCTAATCTTTACACAGACATCTCGCACATTCCCTCCTCACGCAATCATATCGGAGTGGTATCATTGCTCTCTGCCACCCACTTCTCACGCCGCCATCCCAAAATCCTCCCTGCACTATCCTCCACTTCACACCTGCTGCCATCCGTAACCCACTCCACAGACTTATGGAGCCCACCATCAGTATCCACTATGGTAGGGCTCCCACTATCATCGCCACCCACCTCAACACATGCTCCTGGCGGCATGAAGGCAAAGCCATCTCCCTCACCCTCCAATTCTTGCTCTTCCAGCCCTCCACTCTCGCAAATCAATGCTTGTTCCTCCTCCATTCCTCCATTCTCATCCATCGATGCACCAGTGCTAGCAGAAGCAAAACCATCTGCCGAACCAGCAGCCAAAACAACACCCAGACCAGCTGCCGAGCCAGCAGCCGGAGGAGCGACCGAGCCAGCAGCAGGAGCAGCAGCAGCACCAGACACCAGATTCGTAGAAAAGGAGATTTCAGTGGGAAGACTCAAGGGTACCGGTTGTGGGAGATGGCTAGAACCATGTGACACCTGTAAGGACTTTGCTGCTGCTACACCTGGTGCTCCTCTGTTTGTTACCCCTGCTGTTTCTGCCGCTGCTGCTGCTGCTCTGCCTGCTGCTCCCGCTGGCGTTGCTGCTGCCACAGCTGCTGCTGCTCCTTCTGCTGTCGCTGCTGGTGCCACCGCTGCTGCTGCTCCTGTCGCTGCCACTGCTGCTGCTCCTGCAGCAGCAAGAGGGGTCACTGCAGCAGGCACAGCAGCAGCAAGAGGGGTCACTGCAGCAGGCACAGCAGCGGGCGTCATTGCTGCAGAAGCAGCAAGGGGGAGTCCTGAGGGGGTCTCGAGGTGGTCAAAGAAAGAGAGCCAGCCCGGAGATCCCGAGGTGCCGCGGCCCTTCCTGTCACCCACTGCCCTCGTCATGCGCGCGTGCTGGTCTGCATAAGGGAGGGGGGAGGGGGCGGGAGGAACGACTGCATGAGGAGGAGGAGGCAGGGTTGGGAGGGGCTTGGAAGGAGGAGGAAAGGGGGGTGGAAGAGGAACAGGAATCCGGCTCACCTGCGATCATGTCTGGCGTCAACCCCCATGAAAACAGCTCATACTCCGAGAGTGCCGCACTGCCAGGCTATATTTCCCGCCTTCGCCCATCTCCATCACCCTATCCCGCAGTTCCCCGGGTTCAACAGCCCCTTGAACTGCCGCACAGTCCAGTGGAACAAGCGCATGAGGAGGAGGGGGGGGGAGGGGGCCAGGGGAGAAAACCCCCTGCCTAGCCTTTCAACCTGGCTCACCTGCAATCATGTCAGGCATGAGTCCCCACGAAAACAGCTCGTATTCCAAGTGCCGCACTGCCAGGCTGTACTTCCCACGCGTGGCCCAGCGCATGAGGAACACACGCGTGGGCAGCCCGTGCAAGGAGGGAGAGGGGAGGAGGGAAGAGGGAAGAGAGGAGGAGGAAACTCTGGCTCACCTGCAATCATGTCAGGTGTGAGTCCCCACGAAAACAGCTCGTATTCCGAATGCCTCACTGCAAGGCTGTACTTCCCACCTTCCCCCATCTCCATGACTCGGATTTCACAATTCCCCGGATTGAGCAGCCCCTCGAACTGCCTGACGGTCCAGCGGAACCAGCGCATGAGGAACACACGCGTGGTGAGCCCGTGCGTCACCATCACTATGTTGAGGGCTTTTCGGCGCGGGGGAGGGGTGGCGCCCGGAGGAGGAGGGGCAGGAGAAGGGGTGGCGCCCGGAGGAGGAGGGGCAGGAGAAGGGGTGGCGCCCGAAGGAGGAGCAGGAGGAAGAGGAGGCGAAGGAGCATGTGTGTCTGCATGTTTTTCTGCATGTGCATGTGACGAATCTACCCGTCTTTCTTCTCGCTCCTGCTGCTCTCCTCTCGCTCCATCTCCCCTCCTTTCCTCTCGCTCCTCTCTATCGCCTCTTAATAGAGGGGAACCAGCAGCCTCGGGACCACTAGCAGCACCAACAGCAGAACTGTCAGCAACAGCAGCAGTAGCAGCAGCAGCAGCAGCAGTGGCGGCGACAACAGCGGGGTGGGCTGACGGAGTGGGCGCAGGGGGAGGAGGAGGAGGAGGGTGCAATCGACACCAGTCTATGTCCCGCCACAAGCTGTCCAGGAAACCTGTGGAGGGGAGTGAGGGGGGTGGGGTTGGGTTGGGAGGGGAGAGGTGAGGAGGGGTTGGGTGGGGGTGGACAAGAAACAACATTTGACTTCAACCGCCTGCCAACCACCTGCAAGTGTGTTTTGAGGTGCCAATGATTTACGCAAACGGCACCAGTCTATGTCTCGTCGCATTTTGACGCGCCTAAAAAATTGCCTCATGATTTACACAATCGACACCAGTCTGTCTCGCGACAGGCTATCAAGGAAACCTAAGAGAACGGGGGGGAGCAATGGAGGGGGGAAAGAGAGGGTGGGATGGATACGAAAACAAGCAGACGACAGCCTGGCTGAAGTAACCAGGCATGATGTTACAGGGTGTCTTTGAGAGTTCTCAAAAACACCCTCAAAAACACCCTGCAGCATCCAGAGGGAGTTGACCACGGCTTACACATCACAGTCCAACGGAATTGGACGATTCTGGAGTCAGCACAAGCATTGCTCATAAGATCGGGGTTCCATGAGCCCAATAAGGACCAGTGTGGTGGTAAAAAAAAAAAAGGATGCATACAAAACGACTTTCTGGACACCTGTGGAAACTATATCGAGGAATCGGCTTAAAAAAAAAATCATATGCCTCGACTAGGAGTTAAGTGATGGTGCAGTGCAGTGTAGTGCGATGCAGATTGGTGTAGTGCGGTGCAACCCGCAACTCACCAGTCACGCGGTCGTACACGTCAGCAGACGATTCCCCCTCCGGGAATCGGTAAAAAAAACGTCCAAATCGCTGCCTCATGTCCTTGATCTGCCTCATGCGCTCCTGCACCTGGTGGGGTGCAGTGCGGTGGGGAGTGATGGGATGTGGTGCCGTGGAGTCATGTCATTGCGCCTGCCTGCCTCATGCCCTTGATCTGCAACATGTGCTCCTGCACCTGGTGGGATGGGGTGTGGTATGGTGGGGAATGGTGGGGTATGGTGCAGTGCGCACTAAGCACGCCTGGATAATTCTACTGTTGTGTGATTGCGCCTGCCTCATGCCCTTGATCTGCCACATGCGATCCTGGGCCTGGTGTGGTGTGGGGTGTGGCAAGGTGGGGTGGGAACTGGTGGGGTGGGGTGTCTTGGGATCCGGTGTGGTGGAGTGAGGTGAAAACAGGTGGGGTGTAACAATGTGTGTGGTCATCATGGGGAATAAAAGGCTGTACCCATAAAAGGCTTGATGGTGCATGAACGGTTGGCAAGACCCTCCCTTACATGGAAGCGTCCCACAGCAAGCCCTTTCTTACCATGAAGCTTCCCAAAACCTGGAACTTTCCCAAAGCCCACCCACTCCTACCTGGAAGTTTCCAAAGTCTTGCTCCCTCAGCCTAGGCTCCTCCCTCACTCCCAGAATGTGCTGCCTGTCAAATGCACGCCCTATGCCCCGCAGGGTCTGCTGCCAGGAAGGGGGGAGGGAGGGAGGAAGGGAGGCGGGAGGGGGGTGGAAGGGACGGGGGAGGAGGTTAGGGTTTTAGAAAAACGGAGGGTCCAGGGTTTAAGAGGTTTGTGCTTTGGATGCTGACCACAGTGGCAATATCAGTCGGGGTTCTTTTTCCCACATCCATTTTTGCGAATTCTCTAGAATCTCCCGCATAAGCATGGGGAGCGAGCAGAGCGGAAATATCAGTCGGGGCTCTCCTCTCCCCACATCCAGAATGTTCCGCCATGAGTGACAACAAACGTCCATGCCCCGAAGAGGTTTGTTCAAGCATTCAAGGTTTGAGGATTTGGGGTCGAGGGTTGAAGGTTTAGAGACGTCTCAAAACACTTCTTCATACACAGGGTTGAAGGTTTATGGATGAGAGGGGGAATTGGAGAGGCAATAGCGGCCTTGGCTCTATTGTTCTCCTCACCCTCCAGATACAGCCCTACTAGTTCCCCGTTCCCCATTCCCCCTTCCCTTCTCCCCCTTCCCCCTTCCCCCTTCCCCCTTCCCCATTCCCCGTTCCCGTTCCTCACCACCTATTAATCACCTGAAGAGTTCGCAGGTAGGGCGATACGTAGAAATACACCCCCCAATCATCCTCCTCGTCTCCGCTATAATCACCCTCGCTAGAATCACCTCCCGCGTTCCGCCTCCCCTCCTTCCCCCCTTCCCCACCTCTCCCCTGCTTCCCCCCTTTCCGCCGGTCGAATTCGATTAATTTCCTAATCTGCTTGCCGCATTCCACGGCCTGCTCGAACCCTAGAGGCGTTAAAGACACGCGCGAGTCCGCGATTCGGGTGTAAATCCCCTCGTCCAAGTTCCCCTCACTCTGCCCGTGTCGCACTAATATAATTCGCGTCGGCCGTCGCAACAGCGATTCGCGGGAAAGCGGGTAAGAGGGGTGAGAGGACGAGGAGGAGGGGGGGCGGGAAGGGGGGAGCGGAACAGCGGGGGCATTAGCGGGGGAAGGCGAGAAGGCGGAGCGCGGGAGTTGGGGGAGTTGATCCGCGAAGGCTGCAGACGAGCTTTTGACGGCGGCGCCAGTGGCGGCGGCAAGCGCGGCGCTGAATGCGGAGACCTGCGCGCCGGTCGCGCTGCCTGGAACCGCGCGCGCTGGGTCCAGCGGCGGGGAAACGGCGAGCGGAGGGGGGAAGGTGGGCGGGGGGGAAACGGAGCGGCTTTGCGGCGCAGACCGAAACAGACCGTCGGATTCGTCCTCAAGACCTAACCCTAAGCAGGAGAAGTCGTCAAAAATATTATTTTGCGCGGCTCGGTTGGTGCTCCGAGGCGCCTCGAGCGTGGCGTTTCGGGAGCCAATCAGATTCAGGCAGCAGAGGTCGTCGAGCGATTGCTTGAACGCGTGAGGCATGGAGCAATCGGCAGCCACGTCGTCGCGAGATTTCGTCTGCGTGAATCGCGGCGCGAGGCACGCAGGGAGAGGCGAGTCGCTCCGGCCGTAGGATAGGCTGGATCCAGCGGGGAACGCGGGCAGATCGGATGACGCGGGAAACGCGGCGGTCAGGTTGGGCGAAGCGGGGAAACCTGGAGCTGAAAGTGGGTGAGGAGAATGGGTGAGCGGAGATTTTTCCTCGGCCATCGCGTCGAAAAAAGACTGTTTAAATGGCGGCACGTTGTTAGAATGCGCTCCTGGCGGGCCGCGCGGAAAGTCGTGCTCTGCCATCTGGAGCGTCACCGTGTGCAAGGTAATCAGCGTAATGTAAGTGGAATGTAGGGTTTTCTGGAACCAGTACCGCGAGCGTGGCACAGAAAGTTTTGTTTTTGGGTAATACGCCGATACAGCTCCCTTGTGTATATTGATAACAAACTAAATCGATTCGGGTGACTTCATAGAGAGTATTCAGACATGAGCTTCAGGAGGTTCGTTAACCATTGCGCACCGTAATGGAACGCTCTACATGCAGCTGATACCGATCAGATTGGGGAGCTTCACGTGCTCAGTTTGCCAGTGTGTACTGTTTTGTAGCTGGCGAAGCATGAACCTACGTGTACTTTAAAGCCGCGGTGCAGATATCCGGGCTCCAGTTCAAACTATTATAGTTTGAAAGCCGCGTAACCCGGTATACACAGGAAAGCGAGCAGGGAGAGGTTTCTGCCAGCGGGGGAAGGGCGTGCGGAAAAGTCCTTCGCAGTATGATGTGTGTGGGGGGGAAACGGGGGAGGGCTCGGGGAAAAGCTCCGCTCAACGAGTTGAGGGGGGGCGCATGCAGCAAACTTGAAAATTCAAACTTGAACTCAAAACAACTCAAACTTGGCAAACTTTCACGCTTGAACTAGGTTCTTACTAGCTTGAAGTGCGTTTTCCGAGCTACGCAGAGCCATTTCCGCTAAGATTTCTCGCGTTTCATGGTCTATTGATGTGCTCACGAATATCTGCGCAATTTCGTACCTCGTAAACACCTTTTTGTCGTATTCGAAGCGCATTGCGCTCGTTTTCCTCCGTTGCCGTCCTTATTCCTCTCCCGCCCCTCCATTCCTCACGTATCTGCGGTAGCAAAGGCGCAACGGTAGCGACAGGCAGGAATGGGTGCGACGGTGGCGAGCAGCGGGGCGACGATAGCTAGATATCGGTGGTCGCATATGAGCAGCGGGGCGACGATAGCGAGCGGTGCGGCGACGATAGCGAGCAGCGGGGCGACGATACGAGCAGCGGGGTGACGATAGCGAGCAGCAGGGCGACGATAGCGAGCACCAGGGCGACGATAGCGAGCACAAGGGCGACGATAGTGAGCATCAAGGCGACGATAGCGACAACCAGGGCGACGATAGCGAGCACCAGGGCGACGATAGCAAGCACCAGGGCGACGATAGCGAGCAGCGGGGCGAAGCATCTGTGCGACGGTGGCGAAGCATCTCGCGTCCCACCATGTCACCTCCCGAAATAATCCAATTTCCCCCTCTCCAATGCCTCCCCCTTTCCGATCCCTTGCCCGGTCCTCAGCATCAACTTCTCTTGGGCAGTGCCCTCCCTGTTTTCCTCTCCCTTTCCCCCTGTCCTCCTCTCCCTTTCCCCCTGTCCTCCTCTCCCTTTCCCCCTGTCCTCCTCTCCCTTTCCCCCTGTCCTCCTCTCCCTTTCCCCCTGTCCTCCTCTCCCTTTCCCCCTGTCCTCCTCTCCCTTTCCCCCTGTCCTCCTCTCCCTTTCCCCCTGTCCTCCTCTCCATTTCCCCCTGTCCTCCTCTCCATTTCCCCCTGACCTCCTCTCCCTTTCCCCCTGTCCTCCTCTCCCTTTCCCCCAGTCCTCCTCTCCATTTCCCCCTGTCCTTCTCTCCCTTTCCCCCTGTCCTTCCCTCCCACCTTTCCTCCCCCTCTCTCACATCCCTTCCCTTTCCTACTGTCCTCTCCCACCATTCACGCTTCTCTCAGCCATCCCTTTCCCCCCTCCCCTGCCCCTCGCCTTCCCCCACAACCGTCCCTTCCCTTTCCACTACGTTCTCTCGTCCAGCCCAGCCGACAGTACCAGCTTTGCTTGGCCACTGAAGGCTGTCTATCATATCTCAGTTTCCATGCTCTCTTCAATTTCCCTACCTAACATTCTTCAATAATGCGCAACGTTTCCTTCCCCTTTTCCCCTCCCCCCTCCTCCCTGTAAATGGACAGCTGCACCAATAGTGGATCGTAGTGTAAAAATCGGCTCTCCTTGGATTATGCCATGTTGTTTGCTTGCGATCCTTTGCATGATAAGGATTTCAATATGACATTCCAAGTCTTGCAGGTATGTACATTTGATGTTCTTTCTCCCCATTATAAATAATACTCTTGCAAATGGATGGATAAATAAACCAAAATAAACCTTGTAAGTGAAATATGTATTTTGCAAAGCTTTTATGAAACATAAGGTTTATCGTTTTGCTATGTGGAGGTGTTATTGGCAGAACAATCAGCGAAAGGGAGTATGGGGGTGTTGATGTGGTCCCATTTCCCGTTTTGTGTGTGTTCCCCCCTTCCCTTCCCCCCACCCCTTCCCCCCCACTTTTCCTTTCGAGGTTCGCGACATTCGCCTTGGATGTTTTCATCGCAACACAACTTACACACTCGCTAGCCAATTGACTACCAGTACGGAACAAGACAAAACCCGGCTTGTCACTGTTCCTAAGATAGTTGCACCGCGGCTTTAAGGGTGGAAACACCCATCATCATCTCTTCACGTTCAAGCTGTTTGTCGTTTTATCGACCAGTGCTGCTTATCACGTGCCTCTTATCCCTGCCTACAGTTTTTCTGGTAGCACTAGAGGATTCTGTGCGTCTTGTCATGATCACTCAGACAGCATCAGTAGGCTCGGAAATACTGTAGTAGGTGGCCTACTCTTGTCGTGACCAGACAGTTAGGCTCGGCAGGATATCTCGAAGATTCCACGTCAGCCTAGGCGGTTCTTCCGCAAAATCCTCTGATTCTTTTCAAGGGGGTTCTTCCATTCACACAAATCCGGTCTGGGTCCGTCGAGGACCGGACTGTATACGACACCGACCGATGTGACTTCAACACCCCATCTGGGAAGGAAAACTGTCAAATGCTTATCACTGTCGAAATGGGCTCAAAGAGACAAACAGGATAGAACAACAAAGTGTTTATTGTGATGCATATGACACATCCCAATAGAATCCAAGCATATTACGAAACTTGGACACGCCTGAGGGTTCAATGGTACCCAAGCAGCAGAACTCTTTCCTCCCCTTGCATCCGTTTTATTCCTCTCATCATCATCCATCCCGCACGCGACGTGCGACGCGTGCCCCTTTCAGTCTGCTCGTGGTATGGCGGCTCTCTTCTCTGTCACTTGCCTTCCACATCGCTTCTCCCTTTTCACTCGTCCATAGAATTGCAAAGCAATCGCCTGTGCGGCTGCTAGAAAACTTCAGAGAGCATACTGTGCACACAGCACATGCTGGAAGCGCTTTGTGCTTTGGCTGTAGGATTGTCTCGTCTCGTCGCTTCCATTTCCATACTGCGCGATGGTGGCGAATCAGCCGTGGGGAGTAAGTCAAGTGTCGCTTGTGTGGGGTTGGTGTTCGAAGCAGCCATAGCAAGCACCGTAGAGTAGAACGCAAAAGACCAGAGCAGAACACGCAAACCCACCCGGACTGTGGCTGTAACAAACCACAAGCACTGGTCCTTATTTGGACCACGCGCTTACCTCGTTCAATCCGACGCTTGCCGTGCATCAATCCGCCATCAACATCGCAATCCGATCAATTCGATACCTCTCTTGTTATCCCAGATCCCCAGTCAAGCTGTAGCCCCTCTCGTTCCCCACGTGATAGTCCTGCTCTTACGCGCGTCCCGCGCTTCGTGTTTCTCTGACGGCCTTGGCTTGTGGATAGGAGCGGTTGTATTGCGACGTAGCTTCTTTCTCACTCTCAGCCGTACGGAAAGTTTTCTTTGTCTTCCTCGTAAACGATTTGTGGTAATTAATCTCACAGGTCATCCTAACAGACTCGTCCAAACTGGAAAAGGGACGTAACGTAGCACTAAACGCCAACCGTTATTCCGGGTCTGAGCTCCTTTACAACCGCCTCCGCTCCTCGACTAGAAAGCAGCAACTCCAGACCCGCAACGGCCTCATTTCCCGCTAGCAGTGCCCTTGAAAGACGCTCAATTTCCGAGGTTGCGCGTTAAACTGTTGGACTTGGTAGCAGCACCACGCGTGACAGACTCGGGGCACGAGCTACTAGCTGCGATTCGCGCTGTCACTGGCTCAGCGAAGCGCCACAGTTGTAAAAATACGAGATCTGTTAATAGCAAGTCCAGTCCTGTGCCTGCAACGACAGTGGCGGCTACGAGTGAGCTAGTACCATGATGGCTCCACAAGCCGCGTTGTCGTTCCAACAGCAGCAGCAGCAGCGCGTTCACCCGGGCCCGGTCGCACCTTCCGTGACTCCCGCACAGCGCTTTGCGACGGCGCCGACAGTACCTGTGCCGTCGAAATCGCCGCGGCTCGAGGAGATGGCGGTGGCGTGGGTTCGCGATCTGGATTGGAAGGTCGCACCGCTCGTCCGGCGAGAAAAATCGAACGACGAATTGCCAGCGATGCTGGCAACGACAGCAACACTTTCGCTAAAATCGCAAGCAGGACTTTCGCAGCTCTCCAACTCTGAAAACTTGGCGTCGCGCCGCCAGTGGTCCGCGGCAGCAGCGCTTGCGCCGGTGGCGGGAAATGCGGCCGCGCAGATCGCGGCGTGTCCAGCGCTACTTGCGCAGCCTCGGCGAGATTGCGGATCATCTCCGTCGTCAGAGCGCGGCGCCGCGGTTTCGTCGTTGCGCACCACGCCAAGGGTTTTTTTTGCAACTCCGCCGGCGGCGGCGGCTGCTGCTGCTGCTGCGACTCCTGCTGCCGCAGCTGCTTCGTCGCAGCCAATTTTTAGGGTTCCCGAGCTGACTGCTGCCAGTGGGCCTTTCGCAACTAGTCGCAGTTGCGGTCGCATGCCGCTGCTTCAGTCGCATCCAGCGTCTTCGCTCGATGGCTTCGCTAAACTTCGCAACGTAGATGGGACGTGCGGAGGCAGCGTGGTGGTGCCGCGCGAGAGCTGCGGTGTTACGGCGACGGCGCAGCAGCAGTTTTCGCACGTGATTGGTCAGCAGAAGTTTTCGCAAGAATTCCCACGTGCTCGCGTCCAAGACACCGCACCTCGCCTAGTAACGAACGGTCACGAGCGTGACTGTACCAAGGGCGACCTTTTGCGAAAGAGAACGTTCACGCGTTCAATAACTACAGGTACAGTAAACGTAAGTTCTTCTGTTATCCCCGAATTGGAAGACTATGGGTTCGAATACGAGTGCCTTCCAAAAAGGGCAAGGTCTACACCCACTGCACGTCGGGCTGTAGCTATGAACTTTCCGGCTCCATTTCCTGATGCTGACGTGGCAGAGGTGGCACCAGAAGATGAGGTGTCGCTACATATGCAGCTGTATCTGCTGAGGCGGCGGCAGCGGCAGCAGCTGCGGCTGCTGATGGAGGCGCGTCAGGCGGAGCAGCAGCAAGTTCAGTTTTCTGCTGAGCTGGCAATGATGGAGAATGAGATGATGCTGACTCAGCAGGCTCAGCTACAACAGCAGTTGGAGCAGCAGCAGCAGGCTTTTCAGTACGCTCAGCAGCAGCCGTTGGGATGTGCGCAACAGCTGGGATGTCCGCAGTTGCTAAGGGGTGAGGAGCAGCTGAGAGGTCAGGAGCAGATTCAGCAGCATCTGATGTTGGAGGAAATGCAGCAAGAACTGCTGAAGCAGCAACTACAGGAGCAGCAGCAACTGCGGAGGCGGCAGCAGCTGCAGGAGCAGCAGCAGCAGCGACAAGAGACAGTGGAAGAAGAGATCACGAGAATGTTCCTGCAACGGCAGCAACTGCCATACACCCAGCAGCTTACCTGCCAGGCAGCACAGCAGCAGCAGCAGCAGCACGGCCAGCAAGCAATGACCAGCACAATCCCTGCACGCCCAATCAGCAACGCCCAAGCTGCACTTGAAGCCGCGATTCTCCCCATCTCAGCTTCGGGAGCCGGACCTGGCCCTCTGGCTTGGCCCGAGCCAGCACATCAAGCCGCTGCTGCTCGATTTGTTCAAGCCCAGGAGCAGGGGACTGTTCTAGGTTCGGCCGCAGCAGGGGAGGCTGGGAAGAAGAGGATCGGAAAGCCCTCCGGAGGATTGCAAAAGGGTTGCAGTGCGAAAAAAGCTTCCGACAATAATCCTGCTGCGATGCTCGAGGCTCTCTTTGAAAAATCGTTCAAGGAGAGAAGTGCAAGCAACATGACGGGGCAGGGCATGGCGAGCGGTGCGAGCTTTGAAAGTGATGCGCGCATGAAAGCTGCCGCTCTGCCTGCCGACATGCTGGTTGCTGCGCAGGGGGCCGATCAGGCATGCAGATTCAAGCTGGAGAATGAAGCTTGCAGTCTCAGTGACCCATTTTTGCTGCAAGCGGGGCAGGGCCCTGTGCAGAAATCTGACCTGCCATACGGACAGCTCACGCCGGCCGAAATCATCAACGGTGCACCTTTCTCCGGAGTTTCCAATGGCGTGCCTTGTGCATCCACTCAGCTGGAGACTTTCAGGTACCTGAGTGCGGCTCTCGGCGCGTGTGAGCCGTTGGATCCTGCTCTGTACATGTGTCAGAATCTGGATGATCCGAACCTGGACATGCCGCTGCAGGAGCTAGAGGCAGTTGAGAGCCTGCTGGGGGTGACTCCATACCCTGCTGGTCAACCAGGTCAACCCGGTCAACCTGGTCAATCTTCTCAGATCTTCTCTCCAATTGTCTCCGCCTTGGATTCTGCTGGCCGGTCCGCATCTGCCAGTGCTTTCCCGGAGGCAGCAGGTGCTGCTGATGCTTTCCCTCCTACTTCTTCTGCTGCTGGTGCTGCTGCTGCAGTTTCAGCAGCTACCTCTGCTGCTTCTGGTGCTGCTGCTGCAGTTTCAGCAGCTACCTCTGCTGCTTCTGGTGCCTCCCTCTCAGCTGCTTCTACACCTTCTACTGTCATGCCTGAGCTACAGCAACTTCATGATTTATACTCTATCCCGCAATCATGCTTTGCTGGCGATGGCAGTGGCGTTTCTGCCTTGCTCATGCACCCTGCTTCGGTGTTCCCAAGCCCCGTCATTCCGATTTAAAGTTTGGTCACGAATAAAACCAAGCA